TGTGTCTGTGTGTGTCTGTCTGTCCTTGTCTCTCTCTCTCTCTGTCTCTCTTTCTGTCTCTCTCTCTCTCTCTCTCTCTCTCTCTCTCTCTCTCTCTCTCTCTCTCTCTCTCTCTCACTCTCTTTCTCTGTTGCTCTCCCACCGTCAAATGTATCAGAACTCACTGTCAATATCTCAATATTTCTTGCCTTGTTTTACCGGGTTGTAAAGAACACCTTTTGTTTATGAACACAATGATATGAGAGGAATAAATTAATTTCCAATATTTCCTTTCGAGTTGCGTGCCTTTTGATTCCATTGCGTTCTTTGTTGGATTGTTTGATGTGATGTTGAGAGTCTCAAGTATGATGTTGTTCGGTTGTTATCGATTTCTCTTGTTTCTATTATGTTTTAAAAATTCATTTTTTTCTGGTCAAACATTGAGCATAATTACATTAGAATACTGTTGAACCTATGCTAATGACAACCTGACCTGTCTAAAACAACCACCTATACAAACAAACGACACGTCATGACAAAATGCTATATGGAATCATAGATAGAGGTATTTAATTTAACAGTATCCCACATTTCGTCGCTTTTGAGCACAAGGGGGCTATCCCGAAACATGCCGTTTTGAGAAAATCGACGGTACAGTTACACACTCACACAAACGGGGGGAAAACTGAACGAGGCTTCTCACAGCAGAGTCGGGACTCTTAAAATAATATTTGATCAACAATAATGAGCGACAACACACCGCGAATGAATTGAAATCCCTGTGGAGTTTGTGTGGTGTGTTAATGTGTCGGTTTGTGCGTGTTTGCTGTCACTGTCACAGGCCATGGAGGAATGTTTCACGAGGGAAGGGAAGGTTGGTGTCATGATTGTTTTTTTTTTTTTGCTTTTTTTTGTAAATGTTTTACGGCGCTCGCAACTGCATAAGGTCATATGGTCGCTTTTAAGCACAAGGGGCCTTTCCCGAAAAATGCTGTTTAGAGAAAAATCGAAGGTAAAGCTTTTGGACCCTTATTCAGTTTCTTTAAAGGACATGGGATTTTTCTTTATTGCTAAACTAATAATAATAATAATAGATAGCATTTGTATAGCGCATATCCCCGCTCAGCAGCAGGCTCTATGCGCTTTACACTATATTATTACCCCAGCAGACCATAGAACACTCCAAAACATTCTCAGCTTCCCGGGAAGCATACAGTGCGAGCAGCCGATTAAGCGCTCAAACACTAACAAACTGACAAGATCTTTCGCCGTCTATAGCCGGGTACCCATTCCCACCTGGGTGAAGTGAGGAAAATTCGTGTAAAGTGCCTTTTCCAAGGACACAACGTCGGGCCCTTGACGGGATTCGAACCCACGACCTTACGGTTGCGAGTCCGAGAGCCTAACCACTAGGCCACCGACGCCACCAATGTACACACCAATGAAACCAAACTTTCCCTTTAGGTAGGGTAATGCCCACTTTTGGTGTGGGTCAAGATGTCCGGAAACCCTAGAAATCTGGGTTAGCCAGCCTGTCCTTAAAAGTGACCGTATAAGCGCTGGACACATCAAATATTTTCAGTTGGTAGGAAATTTTGAATTTTGTACTCGGGTGGCGGCCGAAACCTACTCTTATCGATTTTAGACCACCAAGGGATCTTTAACTTGCACATGGGACCTCAGGCATATTTCGCCCTTGTCCGAGAAGGCCAGGTGTAGATCTTTCCTACCAGAAGATCAGGGGTATGGCTGAAAGACAACAGTTAGGAGCCAAAAAGGAGCGGTAGAAAGGTTGAAGAAAGAATCTGAGGCCCAGAGGATGGGGAAAACGTGGTGAGGAGTTGGTGGCAGAAAGTGGAGACGAAAGCAGACGACAGAACATTGCTAGAAAGCACGAAAGAAGGTGATAGGAGACAATTTTAGAGAAGAAAATATTTTGGTAGCTACCCGGATTTGAACTCGGGACCTTTGAATGAGAGAGAAACACCTTAACGTCCGGGGCCACGAGAGCCCCTGGAGTCAAGGTTGATGACTGTCGATTCTGATAAGACAAAGGGCAGGACTTCTGTAACGAGCGACCACTATGAAACAGTAGAATAGAG